GGTTGCGCTACTGCGCTCTGCTCGACTCTGCAGGTGCAGGTAACAGTGGTCTCGGCCCATTGGTTAGATATTTGCTAGGTTCGTTCTGTTTTTTTTTTGTTGGGGGGGGGGGGGGGGGAATGGTTGTCTACTAATACTCGTATATAAAGAAATTAGTAGATGTGATGTTGGCTTGTGAGAATGTAAATGTAGTGATATCATAATTATCTACACAAGCATTGTCAATGTAACAAATATTCCAGTGTTTGAAGAACTTGATACATAGAAAGAACGAATAATGTTAAATAACCGATGACGGCTGCTTATCTATCAGTTCAGATTTATTTATACCACGTGGTTCTCAATTTCCTTGATCAATGATATATTTTCCACACTATAATAAGTGCAAAGAGAAATTAAAAGTTACATACGTATTATTTTCATTAATCTTAATTGAAATATAAAATAATATTTATAATATTGTCATTTTTGTTAAATTTTTAAATTACCGTTAGCTAAAAATTATTGAGAATGTTTTACGAAAGAAACAAATTGAACATAGCGTTGTATCGAACTGTACTAAATTGTATATCGCTTGAAAAGCGCTTAGAGGAAATAACATTCCAGAACTTTCACTTTTGACACACCTGGATTGTACGAAATTCATCATATTTCAAACCACTAGGTATGTAATTGCGCCTTGTTTCTTTGTACACGCATATTTTTGTTTTTCGAAATAAAAAAAAAAAACATCACAGGACTGATTAGGCGCTTTACATGCTTCATTAATGTCACGAGAAAGCTTGTTATGCATTCTAAGATTTCGATAGTTAGGTAGATAATTAATCAAACAATATGTACAATTTACCTTATTGATTCTACAAGTTTAATATTTTTAACCTTAATCTTCTTTCCACTAAAGATGTACTAAAATTATCGTTTACATCATTAACGATAGATCACAGCGTATACTGTTATTTGTTCCAAATTGTTAATTAAATCTGCTATAAAAACATATACGAAGCAGAAAAAGCGTACAATAATCATAAAATATTCTTATTCTCTTTTGTTACGTTTGTTGTTTAAACGCGTTTATGAAGGGACGAAAATAAAAACATCATGCTGCAAAATTAGAAAATAAAAAATATTGTAACCCAGATGAATAGAACACTACATATAAGTATACCAACAATGAAAGCAGGAAAGTTATACTTACAACTTGCGTGTGAAGCAGAACTATGAAGCGTCTAAACATCTGTCGCGACGGTGCAAATCTTCTTTCACACATTCGGCACATTTGACTTTAATGCATCAACGTCGAAAATGACGAGATCCCGAGGTTCGAGTCAGGATCGGTAAAAGTCGGGCGGAATCGGACGGGCTCCCGAAAGTATAATATGCGTCGGGATCCCGAAAGTTTTCTACAATGTACGGGTCTTTCGGGATCCCGAAAGTATACAACTATAATTAGACTATAACCTTGGAGAGTTTGAGGTTATGTTAGACGAATAGATTGTTAACGTCAGATCGTATTTAGTTGGCATATTACAATTGAGCTAAGAAACGTAAACGCGCGTTTTAGAGAAAAATCACACGACCGTCAACACAAGGTGAATCTTTCGCGGTATACAGTAATTCTGTTCCTTTTTTTCCTGACACCCCTCATTCTTCCCTTTCTCTTTATGTGTTTAATCGTACGCCTCTATACACCGAGACAGATCGAACCATGTGTAGAAAAATTCGTTAGGAAGTAAAACCACAGCAGCAAGCCGTAGCCGAAGGGAGAAGTCCGTTTGAAACATGAACTGAGGGACATCATGGTGTTCCCACCCCATACCTGAACACTGTGTGCTGGATACACCCTCTTCAGTCAATCATTCGCATCGTGCCAAGGCGGAAAATTCAAAGAAGAAACCTCGTCAATTACAATTTTATTAATATAATTTTTATATATACGAATAATAACAATTCATTTTTTTTACCTGTAACTCTTAAACTCACAGAGAGGAGATATGAATAAAATTATATAGGAATATTGGAAATTGTTTTTATTCAGACTGAAACCTCATAAAATTTTAAAACCGTTCTATATCTTTGTACTTCTGAAGATGTATAGATAAAATAAATAATATAAAAAAATATACCATGCTTTTTATTTTATATTTCAGACCTCTCACATAATATTATTTAAAGGATAAACTGTGCTATAATATTTGGTTCAATTTTAATCGAAGTTTTTTAATTAATTTCTTATAAATTTTAACCAACAAAAATATGATATTTTTAAAGTTACCTCTAAACAATTATAATGCTACCTTAAAATCTACAAAAGTTTCATAAATATCTCGTTTAAACTGATATAGCATAAATTTGAATTTTTGTTAATATATTAATTCATGATAGATGGCCTTATATGCAAAGAAACGAACGAAAACACAGACACAAAGTACTGCTTCAAGCTTTACATGGCGAATCGATAGTAACAGGAAAGGCGGTAAGAAGAACAAAAACGCGCGCTTTACAGCACAATTCATTAGCAAACGATAACCCTTTCAAATATTGCCGCGAAGTATGTTTAGTCGTGCACAGTAGCTGCGGGTGGCGCTGAGTGTTCGCGGCATGAATTGAATGCACGCGAGAAACTCAAGCGTCTGCAACGCTATAGCCATCTCTCCCTGGGGCGCGTACTGCGCAAGCGCTGCACGTTTATTATCTTCTTTCTGTTCAAGTGCCATTTCATTGCATGCAGTGCAGTCTATAAAACAGAATGCGTTCTCGGTGGATCTCGAGTTTCCTATCACTTATCGTCATTCGTAGCGTATAAACATAACAGCACGCGGTCATTAACTTACAAATTGTTTACGTGTCGTCCGACACATGGGAACTCAGTAATATAGTGCACGAAATGCCAATTTCTGTGTTATAAAAAACACGATCGGGCCATTGTTAGCGTCGTAGACGGGTTTCGGATCGAAATTTTCGAACGATCGCGCGAGCAAAATGTCATGCAGCTACGCGGACGGGCTCTCACAGTACGAAAACAAAGGAGTGCTTGGGTTGGAAGAGGTAAAAAGCGTTATTCCCGACGGCTCATTTGGCGGGAGTCGGCCATCCGCGACGATTTTTAATCGTCCGCCGCCTGATGTGTGAAACTTTTTTTTTTATAGAGATACGACAGCATCGAGGCGTTGCGACTGAAATGTGGCCTTCTAGCCGATTGGATACAGGCGGCACGACACGTCGTCGTTCACACCGGTGCCGGCATCAGCACTGCTGCGGGCATTCCGGATTTTCGGTGATTATCATTTGTAATTTTTCGCTCGAATCCCCACCCTACTTCTATCTACTTCCATCCCCTCCCCTACAAACCCGATCGTCCCGCAATTCCGATCTGTTATGCGTTCGAAAGCGCCACTGGCCAATTCTTTTAAATTAATCGAGCGGGAATAACGGAGCCGCGAAGAAACGGCTGAAATTCCTTTTGATCGACGCGTCCACCATTGTTGCGCGCGACAATGGTGACCGTGATCTATCCCAAAATGCTGATTAATACATGAAATCGAGTAGAAACCACGAAATTGACAAGAATTTTATAGAACAGATGAAATGTACTTGAGTAAAAAAAAAATATATTATTTTATTTTGCAGAAAAATTTGGAATTAATATTCCAAATAAATAATTATTTAATTAAAATTAAGGTTTACTAATAATTAATGTTTAATAATAATTATGATTTAATTTTTTATAATTTATATGTATGTCAGCATTAGTTGTATTCCTTTAATCATTTGCATACACTATGTATGATCTGTTAGAGGTACAAATGGAGTATGGACATTAGAACAGAAAGGTTTAAAACCCACAATGAACATTTCCTTTGACGAAGCAATTCCTACAAAGACACATATGGCGTTGAAAAAGCTAGTAGATGCTAGTGAGTACAATTATGAAGTTAGAAAGCAACTATATATTGGAGTTTAGTATTACATTTTACCAATATTATTTTTTCTTTAGAAAAAGTTAAGTTTATTATAAGTCAGAACATTGATGGCTTGCATCTACGTTCTGGAGTACAGAGACAGTATCTTGCAGAATTACATGGCAATATGTTTACTGAACAGTGTGATAAATGTGGAAGGTTTGTATCCCGTTACTAAAAATGAACTTGTATATGAAATAAATCAAAGTATTATCTTCATTTGTAATATTCATCTAGGCAATTTATTCGGAATTTTGCGACTAAAAGCGTAGGAAAAAAGTCTCTCGACACCGTGTGTAGATCTGAACAGATTGGTGGTCGTCCGTGTCGTGGACGTATGCATGACACCATCCTCGATTGGGAACACAACTTACCAGACAGTGATCTAACATTATCTGACTTGCATTCTAGGTAAATTAATAATGATTTTTGAATATACTAGACATTAATTTTTTTTCCTGTCGCGACATATGAAAATGTAAATCTTGAAACATTGAGCAAAATTTATGAAGCAGATGATAAAATAATAATATTTTAATAAAGTGAACACACGTTGTAATATAATTTAATGTAAAAAATTTGGTATGCTTTTCAAACATATAAAAGGAAGGCTGTCTAATGGGTGTTGATGTACATATTAGAAAGATTTGGGAAACGATTCATTGATCTGCTAAATCCTATGTTGATATCTCAGGTTTTAGTTGACAATTATTTACGACAATTATTTTGTTCGACAATTTTATTATTATCAAAAATGTTGAATAAAGAATATACGTTTACAGTGTCGCGGATTTAAGTATATGTCTTGGGACGACACTACAAATTATCCCGAGTGGTAATTTACCTCTATATACCAAAAAATACGGAGGTCGTCTTGTTATATGTAATCTACAACCTACAAAACATGTAAGACAATTTTTTTTTATTTTCAAACTGAACAAATTTTTCCTCTAGACTTCTAATAATGATTATATTGATAATTTAAGGACATACTTCTGTAAATTATTATAGCATATTATGGTCAGTATATTCGGTCACTTAATAATTAGCATAATTCAAAAACAAAGGATATCGTTTTAGGACAAAAAAGCAGATTTAATAATCAATGGCAACGTCGATGAAATAATGATCAGCGTCATGAAAAAATTGGGACTGGAAATCCCCGAGTACGAAAGTACAATGGATCCTACACGCAATTCTGATACAACATCCAAGGAAATGGATTGGACGATACCAACAAGCAGAATAAAAGAAATGAATGTGTTGTACAAGAAAGTGTGCAAACCGATGAGAAGGAAACGGAAGACGTTCATGTACGAGAGGGAGAGAACTGACACAAAACGTGAGACGAAGACAAAGAAGCAAGCGTTCATGATGAAGCAGGATATAAAAACAGAGGATGCGATGAACACAGCGAACCAAGTTTGCAACAACGCGGTGGTTCCAGAGGATATAAGCAGTAACGCGGTGAAAATTGAGGACGAGATGAAGGATGTGGAACCATTCGAGTTCACGACGAACAACATGACTCAGCCAGATCTCGGTTTAGAAGTGAACGACATACTGTAGCATGATTTCAGCGGGTGGTGATTGAGCGACCTAATACTCCTATTAATATTCAGTCTCTGTTAAATTTATTTACGAGTGCATATAGAATGGATGTTATCTGTATGTGAAGAATGCCTAAAAAAGTGCTATTGATTTGTTTATACAAAAATAACAAAAGAAAAAAAAAAATACAAAGTAAGTCTATAAGTTTATCAACCGGTAAATCGCTTTTATCGTCAAGGCAGAAAGCGCTGCAATACGTGTACATATATGTAGTAGTACTTTCGTAATCGCTTCCATGTTCTGTCCGCTTTTTCATTATTAGTAGTTCTTCTTAATCAGAAAAGGTCAGAGTTTCCAATGATCTAATGTGTATCATGTTCTACTGATATACACGTATATGCATGCACAACATGTTTTTCTCCATTACAATACATTAAATGTTAAGTACTTAATATGGTTTATTTAGGATCGTTTGTAAGGTGTTGAACACAGATTTTGTAGTACAGCGTCGATCATGAAATGATCTTTCTTCATATCGATCTCCTAAATGATTATGAAGAGCGCAGCTAACATGTTACGTTCAAGTGCGTTTAATTGATATCTATATATATATATCTATATCTATATATATATAGATATAATACTGTTCGTGTTTTCCACAGAAAAAAGAAACATGACCAAAAATCTTCCATACGGTTGTTTGTAATTCACGAAGCGATTAACGGAAGATCCGCAGATGTTTTAAATGCACCGGAATAGTAAATACTCGTTGCTACTTTGAACGTTTAAGATTGAAATCTTTTAATAGAAAGCTCCATACGAGCATCGGTGTTGTTTGATCGATCTAATAGTTAAGTGTCTCTTGTTAAACGCACATACGTTTGTATAATCGTGATAGAGCGACTAAAAGCGTTTTGTAGGTAGACGTTGAAACGGACAACGGGTTCGCGAAAGTTACTCCCTTGACAATATGTCTCCCGAGCGACTTAAAAACTGGAAGTGCAAAGATTTGAGAGAAGAAAAAATATGGAAATGCAAGCGAGTCTTTCTTATATTGGCATTCAACGCTATTGTCGATAGCGTTTTATAGTAGAACGCAGATTAGTGAAATGTGTAATATTTATATGTACATAGTGATATATGCTTGGTTGCCCTTAATAATTTATTACTTTAATTCATATTATTTACTGGACGTTACTATTAGTGAAATATTATAGTATTCGACGGGAAATAAAATTGTGGAAAGGGCTTCGTGTATGCTCATTGTTTCCTTATCTATTTTTAGACATAACGTAGAATTAATCAAATGAAAAAAAAGGGAATCTAATTTCTCATTTTGATATGGTATATTCTTATTCATAGGCAAAGTTTAAACAAGGATACAACATAATCATGTACACGTGCGCTACAATAATTACTCCATAGCATTAATTTTTTTAAACGAATCAAGAAAAAACATCACTCCAAATATTCAAACGTATTTCGCCTGTTTAATAAATAGATTTTTCTCGTTTACATACTTTATACTTTTTTTACGCAGACTTCACCGACACGTTGCGTTACATCGACGTGAAAAAGTTTTAAAGATCTGAAACAGCGTTTCCTGTTCCTCCTTTTTAACATCAATCATTTCAATCATTCGTTTGACACTTTCTTTTCAAACACTTCCAAAATAATGTTAAATTTACCTACAACATATTCCGATTCGGATAATCAGTATCCAAAACATTAATAACGCAAGAAGAAAACTATTTTCGAATCAACTAAACGACTAACATTTTATCAACAATATTATAAATAAACCTGTTTAAGAAATCAATTTTTTAAATGAATCTTTGAATTCATTTAAATATCTTTTTTATGCAAACAAAGAAACACCGATTCAGAGCAAAGTTACTGGGGTGTTTTCCGTAAATCTTATAAGAAATGAAAGCTAATGTACGTTTTGATTTTCATAATATTAATGTCACCTTAAAAAAAAAAGAACATTTGGATATGTCACAATAAATACACCGTCGACGCTACAACAGAACAAGAAAAATGTACAAATTTTCGCATAGTTTTATCAATAACTTAAGCCTCGAGCATAGCTACTAACTTATCTCTTCAGTATCTCTATATTTACATGCGTATGATTTATATATGGTTCACATATTCCCCGATATTCAGGAGTATGTCAATTCCTATCAGACGCGTAGTATTTCGATTCCAACAATGGGCATTCTTAACCTTAAAATTATCGAGGCAGCCACCCCGTTCATTTAATCGAGAAATGGATTCGTCCTCGAAGTTCGATGCGTCATAAATTCCTATCTATCGATAATCGAAGCAAATAAGTATATTTCCTTTATACATGCACTGTGCGAAAGAAATTATCGATGGATTCGAAGATTTTACAGTAAGTCCAACGAAACGCATGGGCATATAATTTATTCGTACTAACCATGTCCGGCACAATACATGCATAACGCATAATCGAGAAGAAACCTAAATTATTATTGACGGAACTTAAAACGAAACGGAAAACACCCCGAATAAGTTTTCAAGCTCGACTTTCGACGAGCACACGTCGATTCGCACGCAGCCGTTTTCGCTAAAAAAGAATAAATACAGTGAGCTTTAAAAAGAGAGACACAAAAGCGAGGAAGATACGGAGAAAGAGGATAAGATACAAAGAAGATGGTTGGACAAGGAAGTATACACCTGTTGTACGGTGGTGTGTATCTGTGATGCAAAAAGGAGATTGTACGGTGAACGACGAAAGGCAAGAACAGAAAACTAAAAGACGAAGAATGTGGGAAGAAGATAGGAAAGGAGGAAAGAAAAATATGACGATTAGAAGATACAAATCTTTATCGGTCGGTTCGACTCGCATATTCAGTGTCCGCTGAGAAATCCGATTGCCGCGCAGCTGAATCGAAGCCGACTATTTGGTATAATTGCATTTTTCTTAAATATCGTTTCCTCTTTTATAGAGAACTCATTAATGTGGGCTATGTACGATACGACGCGGAACATAGACCTACCAGAGTGTTTAATTAGGCTATCTATATACAGTAATCTTTTACCCGACGGAATAGAAATCGATTATTACATATATATATTTATATAATTATGATAAACTTTTTTCCTATATTGCTCTACTTGCGTATTATCGATCGCATTCTTCGACTTGCACAACGTCTACCGATAAGAACAAACGCAATTACCTTACCGACCGAACACCGTGTCCAAGGTGAACGATCAATATATCGAACGCCACTTTTCGATTCTTTCGGTTGCTTCGATTCACATTTCGAGACTTTCTTTCCCGCCAAAAGATACATCGTGGCGAGAAAACATTCCTCGTTTCGACGCGGTGAATCTCGATTCTAAGTACGTGACAAACAATAAATAGAAGTACGTATCATATGGCTAACTTAATTCGTTGTGTAAAATGTATCTTTGGGTTTCAGTACGGCCCGGTCGATCAATGAAGAGAGTCATCGTCCAAATAACTAATCACCTCGCGATATTCTCGTTTTACCTTCCATGGGCACACTCGTAAATTCTAGTCCTTTGTTTTCACTTGGCCTTATTTTATCAAGGCTCAATTATGTTTTTCGAGCGCATGACGCCAGCCCTTAAGCTTACTAGAAACGTGTGATTCACACGTATGCGTGGGTATATATATGTACATAATACAAAGAGATGCACGCAAGTACGCTCTCGCGTTTCGTAGGAATTCGAGAGATTAGTACAGAGAAAGAGAGAGAGTGAGTGAAAGAAGGAGACGGAGGAGAGGAGTAAAAGGAAAAAGAATACGAGGAAAGTAGGCACGTAACTGACGGAGAAAAAACGTGCAGCGATCCTATGATCACTGGCGTTGCTTGTGAAAGCAAAAGTGGCGCTGCGTTTCTATAATCGATTTAACGCGTCCCTCTCGCCTCGATAAAGGCATGAAAGCTTGATGAGATCTTAACAAAACCAATGTTCAATTAATCGTAAAATTATTAAAATTGATTAAATTTAATTTTATATTTTTGACGTATATGTATATTTTTATCGACACTGCTGCCGTTTTGGTTTATTTAAAAATATCATCAAGTGATTCTTCAGTGTTAAGAGAAAGAGAAAATCCGAACTATCGAATTATACAATTGTCTTGAATAAAGATTAAGATAATAGTTGACAAATTTTTTCTTTTCAAACCCGATTATATTTATCATCAGATGATATTTTTAGCCTATAGCAGTCAGCCGCATGTTCAATAAAAATATTCAACAAATAATGAAAACGTCGTTTATTTAAAAAAGTTTTCTATTCATCTAATATTCATTAAAATTTACTATTCTATAACTCGTTTATGCAACTTTAACTTTTGATGAAACACTGCTATGTCATCGAATGAATTTTCACACATATTCAAGTAGGAAGTCACTACGACTTCTTATACACAATCGCATAATGGTCAGCTACCACAATAAGTGTTCCTATACAATAAACATTCATTGATGAAATCTTGCAGTCTTCCAGCAAACCCTGTCAATTATTCTAATTACCCTAGAAAGAATCAAAACATAACATTAGAACTGAATTTTCACGAAGATCCATCAAGATCACACCTATAAACGCTAGCCCACAATTCTTTCCTTCCAAATACCTACTGACACTATCTTTATAACGCGAAGCTCAACCGACTATACCGATTGGCTTCGATACACGCAAAGAGGGGAGGAACCTAAGGCACGATCGTGAAATGTCCAAGAACAACAGGTGAATCTACTTCACTCATGGCTACGTTTCACTCCCAATAGCTTGGCGGCGTCATCGGCGGACGCTTGAAGTACTCGGTCGATGAAACTCTTGTCCCGTATTCCCAGGAGGTTAGAAATCAAGTCGTTGTCCGTGCTCTCGCTCGCGTCTGGATTCACATTTTGCGGAATACTGGCTAGTTTTCCCGTAAGAGTAGTTAACTTCTCGTACGGATTGAATCTCATCAGTCCGCTTGGCGCTGCATCACCGGTCGCGACTGGAGCAACAGTCGGTAAAGAAATTCTGTCCTGAATGCGAGAATTTCCGCTGTTCGCCGCCACCAGGATCGGTGGTTGCTGCTGGCTTCGCGGAGTGATTGTAGGTGGCTGTGTCGGCGAATTTTCCTCGTCGCCACTGGTGCCAACATACATGGTCGAGTCGATGGACTCGTGCTTCTTCCTGTGTCGTAGCATGCTATGCTTCAGAGTGAACCTTCTACAGCAGATATCGCAGGAGAACGGTCGTTCCCCTGTGTGAGTTCTCATGTGGCGACGAAGATCCTCTGCGGACCAGAACCGCCTCATGCAGAAGGCGCAGACCACCTGGAAATGTCGGCTGTTTTAGTTGCTGCTCGGACGCTTCGTTAATCACTCATCTGCTACAAAATAACACCACTTGAAATAGACTTGGTGTTACAGAGCATAAATAAACCATAGACAGACTTGGTTGAAGATACGTAAGCAGCCTTAATTCATTCTTCCACCAAGTATATCCATAACTTACTTACACCCTGTATATGTGTCACTCAAAAGTGTCAAACGTCCTTACCTTTCTGTTACTGTAGTCTGGAAAACGTCCTCTCTTCTCCTCTCCATCGCTGGCGTGATGTTGTGGCGGTGGTTGCTGTTGGTCCTCTACCGTGTCAATGTCCATATCCAGAGCTCCTTTTGCCACTAACATTTCATAGGACCTCTTGTGATTCACCTTGATGTGTTCCAAGCAGTCCTGTCGCTCTGCGAAACCGCAGTCGCACAGGTGGCACTTGAAGGGTACATCGCTGGGTCCAGGTGACGACCTCGGCGAAGGTCTCCTGGATCTGGGCGTGTCGTTGGTCGATGGTGAAGTGTTAGAATTTGACTTGGGAAGTCCCGGCATCGAAGAGGTTTCCATGCCTTCGGACACGCTAGAGGATTGACTGTCGTAGTCGCTTTGTTCGTTGTTCTGCTTTGAACACTCTTGAGGACTGTTCTGGGGCTCGCTGGATGGAGTGTCCGATCTGGACTTTATTTTCCGAGCGTGTTTAGTAGAACGATGCTTCTTCAGATTACCCAGCGTCGAAAAGGTCGAGCTAGGACATTGATTGCATTTGTATGGTCTTTCAGGTACGTTTCTCATGGAAAACGAGTTGTTGTTGTTGCTCACTGCCTGGGAATCGGGAGAAGAGGAGTTCCTCACCCGACGCATCTTGTTGGGGTTTGCTTTGTGCTTCCTCAGCAAGTGACGGTCGCAGTTGGACTTGGTGGTGAACAGCAACGAGCAATGGACGCACTGGTAAGGTTTCTGTCCTGTGTGTGTGAGGATATGTCTTCTGAGAGACGAGGTCCAAGGAAATGGCCGCTCACAGTACGGACAGATGACTCGATTGGGTGCCATCGAGTAGGCAGACTTCTTCTTCTTCTTCTTCTTCTTTTTCTTCTTTTTTTTCGCAGAGGTGTTTACCGAGTTTGACGAATTTACAGAGTCGGATTTCTCGTCGCTGCCGGAGTTATTGCAGTCACTGTTGGACGCCACTAAACCTTCCTCGTCACTCAGGTATTGCGGTTGAAACTGCTGGTACTGTTGAGAAGCGTTGTCCAATAGTTCCGACACGCTGGCCAGGTCAGTTGTTCCATCTTCCATTTTCTCGCTCTTCACTTCAACCGGCTCTGTCTTGAACACTCTGCTGGGGCTTTCATCCGTTGTCTTTTCCGTTTCAGTGGGCTTCTCCGACTCAGTCGACTTCGTTTCTTCGGTATCAGTATCTTCCTTTTTTTCAGACTCGGCATTTGTCTCCTGTGAGACTTCTTTCGGCGGTTCTTTCGCTTCCTCCTTCACCGCTGCTTCTTTGGTAGATTCTGTACCCTCCAACTGTCCCCTTAATAGACTTTTCTCCTTCTGATTCTGAGATTCCTGACTCTCTTTTTCTTGTGGGTCCTCGTCTATCACTAGTTCTTCTTCAGAATCATTTTCTTCCACTTTGTTCGCCTTGAGCTGCTGCGCCAGAATAGCATACTTCACTTGGTCAGAGATAGAGTGCTTCGTTAGTTCCGAGTTCACTGGCTGTTCAACTTTTGGCAGGATGTTGGTGTATGACTGGGTGACTTGAGAAGCAGGCTGTCCAAGATTCTGTAACAACGTGGGGTGGCTGGAAGGCGGTCTTCCCCTGGTCGAGTGTCCTCCTCTGGGCCTCTGGCTCCAGTGTTGAGGATGCTGCTGCTTGATGTGTCTCTCCATGTTGCTCCTCAAGGTAAATCTCGCAGAGCAATGCTCACAGGTGAACGGTCTCTCGGTTCTGTATCGCCGTTGCTTCTGCTTGGGCATCAGCACTCCATTTTTGATTACCATTTTTACAGAATTCGAGGAGGGTAAGTTATCCGGTTTGTCGCGGTTTGACAGGCCTTTGTTCGCCATCTTGGCCGATATCAGTTTGGCATATTCGTTTTGCTCGGTCGTGGACTGAGAATTCATGTCTCTGCCTTGGGAAAAAGCAGTGAACGCCGCTCCACCGATAGATGACTCCACTAAAGTGCCACCACTGGTCAACTGAAGACCTCTGACCAATTCCTTTTGCAGTCTGTCTTTCATAGAGAAGTCTTGTCCAAAGACGTGAGGATTGAACACGTACGGTGGCAAAATTCCTCCTACGCCAGCTGGAAACGTGCTGAAATTCCTATAGATGGCATTAGCGTACAGTGCTTCCAGAGAGGTAGGTTGGGAACTACCCTGGCCAGCTTTCAACAGGGCCTCGGTCAACAGTAACTGACTGGTAGCATTGTACAAGTCTTTCTGATTTTTGCCGAACTGTTCGTGAGACGCAGAAAAGTCGCTGTCTTCCTTCCCTTTCGACTTTTTGCTGAGGTCCAGCACATCCATAGAGAGATCCAACGGTCCATCTTCGCCGGCATTCTCGGGCAGGTTCAGACCCTTCTTCAAGTTCATCGGACTAGCTTGTATTCTTTGGTGCGATTCTGATTTGGTATCACTGACTAGAGACACGCTGCCTTCCGACGACCTCGACTCCAAATCATCGTCTAGCTTCGAGTAGTCCGACTTGGCGTCTTGACCGGGCTTACCCTCCTCAGCGTTCCGTTGGATCAGCTCCATGGGCTGGCCTGGCCTCGAAAACGTGTCGTTCTTCTCGAAGTGGTTCGAGTTGTGCATCGACATCGTGGAATTGTGCAGCTTCGCCTCCTCTATTATCCTGATCTCTCCCCTAACCTCCATGGGCACCGGGGGATAGTGCATCTGTGTCTGATGCTGCAGATCATCGCGTTCAGATGGATAAACGAGACTCTTCCTCACTTCGTCCTTCAAAACTCTGGGAGAACTTCTTTCCACATTCTCATTCGTGGAGTCCTCGTTTGGATGATAGATCAGAACGCTCTTGATGTCCTCCCTGGTCAATTTCCCGTGTCGATTCCTCACATGGCGCTCACAATTTGCCTTAGTGGTGAAGGCATAATTGCAGAGCGAACACTCGTAAGGTCTGTCACCATTGTGGGATCTCAGGTGTCTAACCAAGGTCGCCTTATCAGTGCTGGTGTAGGGACACATGTTGCAGGGATAAGGCACGCCAGGCCCTACACCCATGTGTGCCCTGTTGTGACCCTTCAACGCTCTCAGGTTGGGAAATATCGCAGAGCAGAGTCTACAGGGGAACTCTCCCTTCAGCTTCATCTTCCTGAACTCAGCGGCGAACGCATCTTGAGCTTCCTCCTCGTGGTACTCTGACGAATAGGTGCCCGAGGAGCCAGAGGAACTCACACTGGGATTGAATTTGATGTTATTTTCAGGTGTGCTAGCGTCTGATCGAGGGAAATTCTGAAGAATAGGGCCAGAGGTGACAGATATGATACTCTGTATGTCAGCCAGGTCTTTCCCCTCTTTGGCTTCCGTCAGAGCAGCCTTGTTCTGAAGATCCAGACCAGCGAAGAAGTCGTCTCTCCGTGACTGACTGTCGTCCGTCGTCCTGATCTGAGAATTTATCGTGCCACAGTCTGTCTCGTGGGCATCCAACGCGGATCTACACGGGAATGCCCGCAGACACTTGGAGCACTGGAACTTGGCCACTTCCCCGGAGGCAGGTCGGTGCAGAGACTGCTCGCAAACAGCCCTGGCTATCGCCGGGAACTTATCCGACGAGAAATCAACGAACGTCAAGTCATTGAAACCCACTACCGAATTTCTCAAGTTCCTCGCGGTGTTCCCTATGGAATGCTCAGCGAAGTGGATCATGAACCGATGCAGATTCAGTACTCTGTGATTCTTGAAGGACAAGTTACAGGTATCGCACTTAGCCGGGAATTCCGGGTGACTTCGTTCCAAGTGGGCCTCCAAGAGGGCGCTAGTGGCGAAGTCCTGTCTACCGCATACCGGGCAATTGTACACGTTCTGGCTGTCATCCGGTCTCGATTTCATCTCGGTCCTCGAGCTGTTCAAGAGAATCTTGTGCCTTTTCTGACCCTCGTTATCGCTCAAGTAATCCGAACATTTTCTCTTCCCAGATAACGTCGGCGACTTTTCATCCCGTCTCTCCATGAAGTCCGGCGAGTTCCTCTTGGTGATTTCGTTGTTGTTGTACTCCTCGAGGTGGCGCCTCTTGGACGGTTTCTCCGAGTCGCTGCTGCCCTCGGAGTCCGTGCAGCTATGAGGCGAGGCGCCTCTGTGCGCCGTTCTCAGGTGCCTGTTCATGTTTCCATTCGTGGTGAACGCCATTTCGCAATACTTGCACTTGAACGGACGCTCTCCCGAGTGCACCAGCACATGCCTGTCCAGAGAGCTCGCCGAGCTGAGCACCTTGTTGCACACTCCGCAGCTGTAGTCATCCTCACCGCTGCAGTCTGTGCTGCGAGGCGAGTTGTGGCCACGAAGGTGGTTCGTCAGCTCCCTGGAGGTAGGCAACACGGTGGGACAGGCTGGACAGGGATGCGCGCTTTCTGGTAACTCGACCTGGAGAAGAGATTCACACCGTTAAATAGCATCCTAGAGGACATAAGTCAGGTTCGACGTGATACAAAGGTATAATAGCAATGTTAGCTATCGATTTATTATTATTATTAACCCAGAGACATCGATATTAACGCTACAACCAATTTTCACAGAGCATAATGCATCATTCGAAGAGCATCAAAATCACGCAACGCGAAATTCTCAAATATGTCAAGCATAATCTTGTACACGTGTTTAGTGTAGATCACGACGAGCTAGACTATCGCAAGATGTCAAGACACGTATCAACGATGAAAGAGGACTTCGAGTGTCCGTATTGGACGCGTTATCAAATATTCGGATGAGTCGTTCAATAGAATTTCCAACTTACACTCGATGGTGACGATGCAGCATCAGCTTGTGCTTCGTTCTCGTGTCCCTGATCGGGGCCACTCTTAACAGTAACTGCAACAGAAAGAGGAATCGTATGTAGAATCTGAGGATAATTTCGTTCACTCGATATTCGCCTGGTGTTTAAAGAAAATGGCGTTTTTCCAGAAATTCTCCAGGGAATCCTACTTTCCAGCGTAATTTTATACCGTTCTCTCCGGGTCGGATCTATCACGGTGTACTTGGAAACGCGCGATACGCGACAGCAGCTAGTCAGCCAGACGATTTCTCTTCGATCGATAATGGCTTATTGTTTGTAAATTTTTTCAACTGCCAGCGACCACGCGATACCATCGTGTCACAGAAATCCGCGCGGACCCGAGCGTCTTCCGGAAGCTGATAGACGACCGCAAAGAACGCGTCGGGGCTGGGACAATGACACTTATCAGCGACTCGAACCGCAGTCGTCCTTATTTACGTCTTTTCGATCCTGGAGGCTACTGCTGGAGCACGCTTCCGAGAACGATACCGGGACGAAAATAGGTCGATTCGAAGCGATTATGCGATAAATATCGTTATTTTCTGCATTACTTTCCGACTTCGTTTCACATCGAATCCGAATTTTTTAATTATTTATAAAATTCTACAGAATGTACATTTATTTCGAAATTTGGCAGAAACTTGCTCCATGTTATCTGGATTTTCATAATCTTGGAGATTTCTCTCAGATTAACTTTGTAATACATGTCATATATGTAATGTAATATAATTAAATATATGTATATATAATAAATATTGTAAATTTATATAAATATATACAATGTATAAATATATAAATATGTATATGTAGTATAAATATAATAAATATGTATATATAATAAATATTGTTGTATGTATTACTGTAACTTTGAAATTATGGATATATTTGTTATCTGGTGTAAAGATTATATTTCTGAAATATTGTCGAATCTAGGATAATTTATTCATCGTAGAGTGTTTCGAGATTAATTATCCATCCCTCGAAACTCATAGGTAATTTAATTACGGGCCCGAAGTGTTATAATGTTCTGAGGTTTCTCTGTATTAAACTTATCGCACTGTGATGTTCTCTGAAGCGTTAGAAAGTTTCGTTATATTAGGTAATGTAACTAGAAATTGTATTGTATATCGTGCTATTGAAACGGTTAGAATACCGGATGATTTAATAGTGAAATCAGATTGTTTCTCAATGAAACGCTTACTGTTCGACGAATTATGAAAACAATTGGTCCGAACGTACTCTGACCTCTAGTTGATGACTCTGTCATCAGCTTTTCCTTTTCCATTCTAATCTACCACAGATCATCGGACACGTCTACACTCTAAGCTCGATTATTAGAAACAATTCCTATGTACCTTATATAATTATAAAAAATACTCTATATCGATGAGAAACTAATTTCAATAATGTCAGTATAAAATCTTAGCCATTTTCTTTAGAATAAAAATACGTTTAATCCAACAGTAGCCATTTTCCTTAGAATAAAAGAGGTCTTACCGAGTCCCAAAATTCGCGCAAGATTTGAATTTCGCGCCATTTGTGAGGCAAAGTGTTGTCAACGAAAAGAAAAATAATAGCGTGACAATTGACAGTTTAGGGTTGTCAAAAATGGAACGCTACAGGAAAGAACGCAACTTTGTGGAAGATTTAAATTTTGCGCCATTTGTGAGGCAAACTATTGTCAACGAAGGAAAAATAACAGCGTGACAGTTGACAGTTCAGGGTTATCAAAAATGGACACGAAACTACACGAAAGAAAGCAACTTCACGCAAGATTTGAATTTTGCGCCATTTATGCGGTAAAGTGTTGTCAAAGAAAAGAAAAATAACAGCTTGACAGTTGACAGTTCAGGGATTACTAGAAACTAAATGCTACACGAAAGAACGTAACTTCATTGTTCAGCAGTATTTACAATTCTTAATTAAAAATCTGTGTTTCCTATCAAAATTATTTCTTGCGTGAATTTTGGAACACCCTATATAATTTTCTATCTTATTTATCTTCGGTATAGTCGTGTAATTCTACTCAACCTGTCAACATATTTAACATATCAAAGACAGTTTTCCTTTGGTACCAAAAGACAAAGCAGTTTCAGTACAAAGTACAAAAATTATTCACCGGTCATTCAAAATGGCCGCGAATAATTTTGAAACAAATTATAGAAAAATAATGGAGGGAGGGAAGAGGAGATAAAAATAGGTCTACCAGTATCGAACGACGATAACGGAAGAGCAGAATGTTGCAGGTGTGAGGATCGAACAGCCACGTTGCGATTGCGATCGAGGAAAAATGAAACTCCTCCATGACGCTCTGACACACGGATGAGACACGATCAAACATCGCGTTGGAGAGGTTGGAGAAAAAATCCTGGCAACGCAAACGTACGTGATCTTGTGCGTTCGCCTTTATCTCCCTCGAGAGTTCTTTTCATCCGACAAGAAGCCAGATTAAACGGCATATTGACAGAGTTGCGCAGCGTCGATCCGCATTATCGAGTCGCAGCAGGAAGCAGACAAAACATCTCGCTTATCAACGATCCACTGGTCGACTTTGAAATCGAGATTCGTCGAGAGGACTTTGGCCGAGGATCATCTCGTAACTGCGTCTTCCGCGAATTTTTATTAACATTTTTATTAATAAATACAATTTACGAGTTACTCGTCTGTCGAAAATTACGAATTTCGACGAATATATCCGACAGAAATTCCCTTTCCCAAATTCCTTTTTGTATTAAATATTTTTAGTTTATAATAACGTGAAACTGTATTTTTAAATTTTGCAAAGTGGGGGAAAATGAAATAACATTTAAAATGGAATTTTTAATTTATACAAACGCAATTTGCGAAGTTTCGAAATGGAATTTATGAGACCTAGGATACTCCTGCGATTGTGAATAAATATATTCTTAATCGTAGGATCAAGATGGATGACTGCAGATAAAAATCGAGGGAGAAGGGAGAAATTAGGGATGAAGAGATAATCGAGGATAAAGAAGGAAGATCGTGAAGAGATAAGAGATACATACCGAGAGAAATGTGGGAGAATTGAAATTCAAGGAACAGTAGAAATTCGCGAGAAAGATTCCGATAAGATAAAAATCAGAGATACTAAGGAAAAAACGACGAAAAAATCAAAAAATTGGAAAACATTCGAATTAAAGATCGTAAGACATCGATTAAACAAATTCCACTCCTTTTATCGCAACGTTCTCCGATTTCGAATCGCAAAATCGACCTAACCTCAAAACGAATAACCTTTTATACATGTAATATAATACATTATCTGTATTAAAGACAGAATTTGTATGGAATTATAAACTAAAATATTCATACTCAATTTTTGTCTAATTAGAAACTTCGTCTAACTTCAAAACGAATACTTTGTTATATATCTATATCCAAATAAAATTTCTATCCAATTATTTATCTAAATGTATATTTTATATATTCTAATCGATCACCATACTCAATTAATATCCATACTCAATTTCTGTCTAATTAGAAACTTGGTCTAACCTCAAAATAAATACTCAGTTATATATCTATTTATCCGAATAAAATTTCTATCCAATTATTTACTATATATATATCCGAATAAAATTTCTATCCAATTATTTATCGAAATGTATGCTTTATATGCTCTAATCGATCACGTTCAATTATACTCGATTCTTATTTGAACATTCTCCCAATTAGAAACTCGATCTAACCTCAAAACGGACACTTTCACGTATATCTATATACTAAAAAAATTTGCATATAATTATACATCGAAATATGTATTTTATTGTACATGAGAGTTCGAATCAATTACATTCCTTTTTATGCAAATGTTTTTCAACCTCCAATTACAAACTCCATCTAACCTCAAACCGAATACTTTCACATATATCTTCATTCCAATAAAATTCGTATTCAATTATCCATCGAAACTTACGTTTTATATAGGTATATTAAAATCAATTACACGCCATTTTATTCGAATATTTTTCAATCTCCAATTACAAACCCGATCTAACCTCAAAAAAGTACATACTTTCATATATATATGTATTCTAACAAAATTTGCATATAATTATGCATCGAAATATATATTTTACACGAGAATTTGACTAAATTACATTCCATTTTATCCGAATATTCGTCAACCTTCAATTACAAACTCGATCTAACCTCAAAACGAGTACTCTCACATATATCTACATTCCAACAAAATTTGCATATAATTATGCATCGAGATATACATTTTACACGAGAATTCGACTAAACTACATTTCATTTTATTTGAATATTCTTCAATCTCCGATTACAATCTCGATCTAACCTCAAAACGAGAACGTTTACGCGTATTAATGTCCGAACAAAATTTGTATTTAACAATATATGAAACCATACTTTCGATATATATAATTCAACAACCATGTATATAATATTTATCCAAACATTCTTCAATTCCCTTTAATTTCCTAACCTCAAAAATTCTCGCACGCGTCCATATTTATATGGAAGAGAAAATTTATATTGAATTACCGAAATGGTTGGATGAAGCGAAATATAACTTTCACGTATTCGAATGTGATCCCTTGGGATATAACCAAGATTATATTAGCGATAGAAATGAATGGGTCAAATTGGTGGCATGAGAGACAGGTCGTGGTAGGGACGAGAGGAACAGGTGCGATTAAAGCCGGTCTCACGCGTGGCAGGCTGCTGACAAACGCGGCCTCTGCCGACCAGGTGACTCGATTCATGCGCGTAAATCACGCGGACGAAACGGGTTTTCGGCCGTTTAACTCCGACTTAGCTTGCGGTTTGCGTCCGCGTTTAGCGGGCCGGTTCGCGCTTAAGCGCGCGAATAAATTCGACACGAATGATCTACGTCCGCGACCGCACCGACCTTCTCGACTCGTTTTTCGCTTCGTGACACGGACGAGTCACGTGGGACTTTTTATTCGCGGCAACTCGACGAAACCGAGTGGAAGAGTCGGAGGGTCGATGGCCGACGATTTTCTTGCTCATCTGCTGATTCCACGGC